TGGCAGGGGAGATTAGGGGAAAGTGGAGGAAGGCACAGGGGGGATAAATGATGATGACCAGGGACTTAACTTGGGGTGGTGAATACATAATACAGTATACAGATATATGGAATTGTACACCGGAAACCTGTATAATTTTGTTAACCAGTGTCACCCAATAAATTCCATAGAAAAGGAAAAAATGACAAGGCATCATTTACCCCCCCAAAAAGGAAAGAAAACAAATATTGCATAATTCCACTTACATGACGTATCTAACTCATAGAAGCAGAAAATAATAATATTGGTTTCCAGGGGCTGATGGAAGAAGGTGGAAGAATGAGCAGTAATTGTTTAATGGATATAGAGTTTCATGTTGGGAAGATGAAAACATTTTGGAGATGGTTGGTGGTGGTGTTCACAGCAATTTGTGCACTTAAAAATGTTTGAAATAGTACATTTTTGTTATATATTATTTACCACAATAACAAAATACTGGGGAAGAGGGACAGACTGAGTGAGTTGGTAGCAAACAGGAGCAAACTTGTTAATTCCTGAGGATAAAACTACAGGCATTGCTTCTGTTTCTGGTTCTGGACTTCAGGAGTGTGTCAATTTGGTTTAAAGGTACAAGTTGATAACAAAGAAAGGTGATTCTGTGCTGGACTGCAGCCAGCTCTTCATCACCTCAGAATCAGAGAGAAAGAAGATTGTAGTGGAGCTTCTTTTTGATAGCGTTTCCATTCTCTACCTCTGACACGTTGTCTTTATACAAGAGTGCTTGGTTGGATGTTTTTTTTCTCCCTGGCTACTATGTGAAAACATAGTACTTTACTGTATTTCCCCAAGCTGCTCTCCCTGTGGGGCAGAGAGAAAAGCCACATTCCCCCAAATACATCTTGAGACTGTCATCTAGGTATTCACCCCAAAGGAAGTAGATATATCTATGACTTGTATATCACTCAATCTTTATCAGCTAGGAATTCTGCCATCTAAGGCTTCTCAGTCAGTCATTAATAGGAATGTCACTATTTCCCAGGTTTACCTGGCACATAACCTTGAATACACTAGCATTTCCATTCTTGGAGCAACCATATCATGAACAACCATTCAGAACAGGCATGTTTCCAGGGAGAAATCCAGTCTCTGAATTCCGACCTAGGCCTAACAACACCGCATAGCCCATGCCAGGTTCTCACCAATGTCAAAATGAGCAGCAGAGCCCTACAATGAGCTTTCCGACTCCCTGTACCCAGTCCCAACCTAAAATAGAGCCAGAGACACAAGTCTAACCAAACTCAACTTCATTTCTAAAACTGGCCTCCAATGAGACTTGTGGGTGCCAAGTGGGAGTAAATGAAAGACTTTGTTTAAAGCGTCAAGATATATTTCAGCAGAACCAATTACTAATTCTCTGAGGACTAGAGAGGTCAATGCAACAAATCCTGCACTTCTTGCAAGCTTATTTAAACATTTCTCTAGAGTCAGTGAGAAATAATTGCAAAGAAAAAAGGACATTTAAGTAAATGACAGCAGCAGAGCCATGTACCAACAATCTGAAGATTAGTATGGGAAACATTGTCCCAAGCTTTGGGGGTTAGAAGGAAGGCTTAAATCAGGAATAAAAAGAATTCTCTCTAGATTGCTCATGACCTTGTTGGGAAACCAAAATTTAGGACAACTGATTTGAGAAAATATTGTCCAATTAAGTTTATTTGATTCACTTAAACATTTTATAGTTTCATATACCAGTTTTTCCTAATTTAAAGAATTTTTTATTGCTCCCATTATTTTTAATTTAGATTGAATATAGTTCTAAATATCTGAAAATATATATATTAAAGATGTAGTTATACATACATAGGAAGCCAAGAAAGTGGGGAAATTAAATCCTTGAACTACTCAAGTTTCCAAACTGAAAAAGCTCATTTTCTGAGTGATCTTGGTCATACTGATAATGTGAACCAAAATAAACTAAAATGCCCAAGATTGAGAGAATTGCCTAGAGCAGTGGTCGGCAAACTGTGGCTCACGAGCACATACGGCTCTTTGGCCCCTTGAGTGTGGCCACGAAGTTTCAATCGCACTGTATGAGCGTGCCCGCACGTGGTATCTTGTGGAAGAGCCACACTCAAGGGGCTGCAGTTTGCCGACCACTGGTCTAGAGAGATAAGGATTCCAGTGTCAGGCTGTGCTGGGGTCCAACCCCAGCAGGTCCAGGGATCCTCAAAGGTGTGGATGGAGTCGGAGAAGAAGGAATGACACGGAGACAGCGTTCAGTTGATCAGCAGCCTAGCCAGGATCTCTAGCCAGGATCTCCAGCCAAGTTCTGTTCAGGATCTCCAGCGAAGTTCTGTTCAGGATCTCCAGCGAAGTTCTGGTTAGGATCTCTAGCCAAGTTCTGGTTCGGTTCTCTCACTAGGTTCTCCAGCCAGATTCTGTAGCCATGTTCCCTCACTAGGTTCTCCAGCCAGGTTCTGTCCAGGTTCTCCAGCCAGGTTCAGTCACCAGGTTCTAGTCAGGTTCTCTTGCCATGTTCTATCCAGGTTCTGTAGCCAGGTTCTGTCTCTAGGTTCTTCAGCCAGGTTCTCTCGCTAGGTTCTGTCTCTAGGTTCTGTGGCCAGTTTCTGTCCAGGATCTTTTGCCATGTTCTCTCCAGAGAAGTTCTTCTGTCTCTAGGTTCTGTGTAGGTTCTGTGTCTAGGTTCTGTGTCTAGGTTCTGTGTGTAGGTTCTGTGTCCTGTTGTCTTGTTACATCTGTATTTATACCAGTTGATTCCAATCCTATCAATCTCTATTCCAAAGGTTAGGGCGTTTCTTATCTGCATTCCAGGGAGTAAAGATTATGTAGCTTAAGCATGATTGTTCATAGTTAAAGTGATTAATTACCCGCCTGGCACTTAGTTAAGGGATTTTATTCCCTCCCTAACTTCAGGGGAAAATCCCTACCTGGGGAAACAATCTTTCTCAGAGAGGTGACCTTGGTTAAAACACATAGTGCCAAGAAGGTGAGCAAACATATTAAGAACAGTATGCCATATACGCCAGGTCCCTTGAAACAGCAAGGATGGACCGGCTCCCGGCAAGGCTGGTTAGCTCATGGAGTCTATTTGCAGATATGTGGCACATGCCATGAGGGGAAGAAAGCAATGATGGAGCTAAATTTGCAAACGGAGGAACTCACAATCAACTAGATCCAGGTTAGTGATAACTACATCCTTTTCTCCAAATTTTAAGCAGATTGACTTCACTTAGTTTATTTTCACTGAAGTAGTTTTTGTATTTAGAGTGTGAATTGAAGATTAATCTTTTTCTCTAAAAATGAAATTGGGCACAATGATATGAAACTATCAATCAAAAGTACTGTCTGTACTACTGCCAGATAAGACACTGCTGAGAACTGCTGAAGCCATTTATACAGCATTATGGTTAACATTTATGTCTCACTAAGTTGATGGATTCTGTAGGTTTCTGTTTTAATAACTTGAAATTCTCTTCTTTATGACTTCCCTGTTGCCACAATGAAGTCAGAATTTGTGAATTAAATCTATTAAGAATGATTAACCATATAGTCAACATCTGTAGGAGTCATAGATAGAGAAGAAACAACTCAGAGACTTAGCATTCTTAAAAACTAAACATACCTTTCCTCTCCTTTATGGAAGCTTAGAGGTTATGATGCTGACATAGGAAAAATATGTGGTTATGTGTTTTGGCAGGGACAAGAGAAAGGAGAGAGAGGGGGAGAAAGAATAAAATACCTTATTGTCTTTTGTATCAACAACCTGTACTCATTCTAGAAAACCCATGCATAGATCATTCCCAGAAAAAAAGAATGTATTTTTGTATATGTTCAATATTTCCACCAGTTAGCAATGAAAACTTCAAGTTCATCCTAATTAATTACACATGCCAAAAGCAAAAAAAAGTGTATTATTTTAAGTGAGCCCATTATTTCTGATATGTCAACAGGAAACTTCATGACTCATTTAAATCCATTTGTAAAATATAAGTAGTATAATATATCTAATCCAGGGCATTATTCTATATTTGATGAAAGACTAATTAAAATATTAAAAACTTTTCAGGGAAATTTGCACCACTTACATGTCCACTTTTAATGGTGTGGAAAGAGTCAGCATGAAAGAGTCATGCTAAGCCAAACACAGCAACTGGGGCTGTTGAGTGAATGCTGCTCAATGAGCTGTTATAAAGATAGTTCCTTGGCATTTTGAAGGAAAAAGACTTCATCTGAAGCTCTGGCTCTCTATGTACATGTGCAATCATTTGGCAGAAATAACAGCTCACAACACATTTGATATAGATATAGTAAGGCTTGGTACTTTCATATCTGATACACAGTCGACTTTTTTCCTATTCAGTTATTTGTAGGCTTATTTCTGAATGGATCCATGCAGATTTTTTAATTTATTTATCTTTATTGTTGAAAGTATTACAGATGTTCCCTTTTCTTCCCCATTGGCCCCCTCCACCTCCTGCCCACACCCACAGCCAGGCTTTCACTGCACTATTGTCTGTGTCCATGGGTTATGCATATTTGCATACAATTCTTTGGATAATCTCTTACTGCCCCTCCTCCTCCCTTCCTCCTGAGATTCCTATCTGTAAAAGAATATTATGTTCACATAACCTATATGTATTCATGCCAATAGATATGTATACCTTCAAAATAATTGTTACTAATGAAATGTCCCCAAAAGAGAAAGAAAGCCATCTATGAGACTTTTAGAGCTACAAAGAAAGTTTGGAAGTCAACCACAAATCAACATTTACAATAACACCTTGCTTTTATTGTGGTGTTTGTAAGGTATTGTCACTATTTAATTAATACAGGATAAAATTTAACCTACTTCCATTCTTCTGTATAGCTATCTACAAAATGACAGAGGTGAGTGGAAGGGGTAGCTCCATCAATTCCAAAGACCAGGTCTAAAGAAGTGATAGACTATTTTAGTACTGAATTTAAAATATCATCATTCAGAAATACCGTGATCTTTCCAGATGGACCAAGCTAAATCGATGAAAAGGACAAGCAATGTAACAGAATTCATCCTACTGGGCCTGACCCAGAATCCAGAACTGCAGAAAATCTTATTTGTTGTGTTTTTAATCATCTACTTGACCACACTGACAGGTAACCTGCTCATCTCCGTCACCATCTTCATCACCCCAGCCCTGAGTTCGCCCATGTACTTTTTTCTGTCCTATTTGTCCATTTTAGATGGTTTCTACTCTTCTTCCATAGCACCCAAAACGATCTCTGACTTCATCTCTGAAAAGAACACCATATGCTTCAATGCTTGCATGACTCAGCTCTTTGCTGAACAATTCTTTGCTGGAGCTGAGATCATCTTGTTAATTGCCATGGCCTATGACCGCTATGTAGCCATCTGCAAGGCCTTGCACTCTATGACTCTCAGGAGCCAGCCTGTGTGTGATTTTCTCGTGGGAATGGCTGGAGTTTTAGGGCTTCTTCATGGAGGGATCCAGGTTTTGTTCATAGTCCAGTTACCATTCTGTGGCCCTAATGTCATCAACCATTTTATGTGCGATTTAATACCTCTCCTGGAGCTAGCCTACACAGACACTCACACTTTGAAGGCCCTAATTACTACCAACAGTGGGTCACTGTGCTTGCTTGTTTTTTCTATGCTGGTTGCTTCCTGTTATCCTGTGCTCCCTCAGGACTCACAGCTCTAAAGGGCGTCACAAAGCCCTGTCTACATGTGCCTCTCATGTCACTGTTGTCATCTTATTCTTTGTACCTTGTTCATTACTTTACCCGAGACCTTTAACCTCCTTCCCCATTGACAAAGCCGTGACTGTGTTTTGCACCATAGTAACTCCCATGTTGAACCCTTTAATCTACACCTTCAGAAATGCAGAAGTAAAAAATGTCATGAAGAAGTTCTGGGAGCAAATAATGAATACTGATAATGAATAAACCTTGTGATTGGAATATTTAAGCCAAAAAAAATCTTGTGATATTCTGTAGATATTTATTCCCTTTCTTAGTTGATTAAACTTGGGACAGTCAATTATCCTGTTTGGACCATTTTTCCTCAAGAGCCCACATGTTGTGGGCAGGGCTGACATATCTGTTAAGGCATAACCAGCACAAAGCTTAGAGCCCAAAATAGTGATGCTGACATGTCTCATGCTCTTGGGACTTTTATCAGGTTAGATATCACTATATATGAAGGCCTTTGAAAAATAGATGCTCTGCCATAATTTCTTATGAGTAACCATCTTGTAAATATATGCAAGCAATTGTATGTTTAAAAAATCAAATTTAACAATCTAATTGTAGTTCCCAAGAAAGATAGAATGAAATAGGATAATGTAAAAATAAAGATGATGATGATACAATGATGATTGCTAATGTTTGCTGAGCACGTTCTGTGAATAAAATCATGACCTAAGTACTTATTTTGTATGTTTTGAGGCAGCAAATTTCTGATATTAATTTCTTTGTGTCCTTAATTCATTTGTAAGTTAGTTGGGCCATTGTTAATCATGATTCTGACAACCAAAAACAAGGGCAAAAAAAATGTTTGTAATAAAAATAAAAAATACGCACACACTCACACACACACACACACACACACACACACACAAAGTGCAATGGGATCAGTCCTTTATGCTATCTGAGGTTGTAACTGTACTGAAAATAAAGGCACTTTTCAAATTTCAACTAAAGTAAATATGCTTTTCTAGAAAGTCCCACAATAAAATCCTGTCAAGCTGGCAAAAATGCTATTTTTAAGCAAGCCTCATCATGATCTCATATTTCTTAGCTGAAAAAAAAATTAGCTTAGTTATATTTTTACTATCTAATAGCAGAAAGGAATAAGTATAGAATTGAAAGTCTCATTTATATGTAGCGATTATTAATTAGACTTAAGCATGTGACAAAGTGAAAGAAGACAATATTTATTTTGCCCAAGAACTCAGCAACAGTTGTTTTTGCTAGATAGAGAATTAGGGGATCAAACCATTATTTCCTGATGATCTCCTGAATTTATTGACTATTGAAGACTAATTTTTAGTACTTCCAGTTTTTTCCATAGTGAAAAAGTGGATATGATGGTGAGTTACAGATTATCTGTCAAACAAAATATAAGTTTATTACAAATTATGGGAGCCTACAGTCTTAAAGGGTGCAGCCTGGGAAGGGATATAGTCAGAGTTTGTAAAAGTAGGAAAAGAATGGGATGAACATGAATGGATGTTTCAGATTCCAGGATACTAGAATCCCTTGGAGTTTTAAACATAAAGAGGAAGAATGAAAGTCCGCTTTGCATCATTGGCGAAAACATAAACCATTCTGTTCTTAGCACGGCATATTTGAAACTTAGTAGAGATGGAAAAGCAAAAGAAAACAACACTTGATTAATCAATCAACCTCATGGAAGATTAGGAAAAAGTTGAGGGACATATAATAATCTCAGGTAAAATGTGTTGGGGTGTATGTGCCAGAAATCTGATTAGGAACTTTACATAGATTATCTAATTTAATTCTTACAATAACACTTTAGACATTATTATCTTTATTTATTTTAAAGACAAGCTTCCGACACTACAGAGGTTTGGTCACTTGCTTAAGGTCATGCCATTTCCTTATACATAGGAAATAAGAATCAGACGCAGGTTGACTTTGCTGCAGAGCCAAGATCTTACCCTCTCTGTGGTAGGGTAGCAGCCTGCTGATGTCACAAAAGGTGGAAAAAGAAATGGAAGCCAGACCTAGATGCACACAGACTCCTATATGTAGTGACGTGAGAAGTTTTTTGCCTTAAGTTGTATTTTGCTCACATTTATATGGCACAATTATTGCACAAAGTCAAATGATATTAACACGGATTGCTATTAAAAGATCTGGATGATGAATCACAAATAAACTGATTTTGAGTTTAGGCACACCAAAGCTAGAGACACTTGATTAATCAATTAACCACAACAGGAGACATTTTTTCTAATTTCTGAAACAACGATAATAATCATTCATGCCCTATATATTTCATATAGTCATTTTATAATCAAAGTATTCAGTTCAAGTGAAAAGAGTAAGTAAACCATAGAAGTGTATAATGATGCATGGATGGATAAGATTAAATAAGTTGATATACGGTAACAAAAAAGTTTTGGTTTGCTCCACTCACAGCAATAAACTCATTTCTATTTCCTGCCTTGCCACTCATGATCCACTGCAATTTTTTACTATGTGAAGAGCTTTTTCATGGCACTTTTTACCTCATCATTTCTCAGGGTATAAATGAGTGGATTCAACATAGGTGTCAGAATACCATAAAACACTGCCATGCTTTTGTCTATCGGTAAAGTAAATGAAGGACGCACATAAGTAAACACACAGGGCACAAAGAACAGCGCTACAACAGTGAAGTGGGCCCCACAGGTGGAGAGGGCCTTGCGTCTCCCCTCTGCACTGTGGGACCTCAAGGAGCGCAGGATGACAATATAGGAGGCGGCCAGCATGAGAAAATTCACCAGGCAGATCACACCACTGTTGGCAACCACCAGCAGACTGGTGACGTATGTGTTGGTGCAGGCAAGTTCCAGCAAGGGGTACAAGTCACAGACAAAGTGATTAATTACGTTGGGCCCACAGAAGGGCAACTGAAGGACCAGGAGGAGCTGAACCAATGAATGCAGGAAGCCCCCAAGCCAGGTCACTCCCACCAGCAGGGCGCAGAGATGCCTGGTCATGATAACGGGGTAGTGCAGGGGCTTGCAGATGGCCACGTAACGATCATAGGCCATCACCGTGAGCAGAATGATCTCAGTACCTCCCAAAAAATGGGCTCCAAAGAGCTGAGCCATGCAACCCTCATAAGAGATGGTTCTCCCCTCATACAAGGAGTCAGCAATGAGTTTAGGGGCCATCGAAGAAGAATAGCAGGTGTCTATAAAGGACAGGTTGGCCAAGAAAAAATACATGGGGGAATTCAGGGTGGGGCTGGAGGTGATGGTGACCACAATGAGCATGTTGCCACAAACTGTGACCACATAAGTGACCAAGAAGACCACAAAAAGAACTCGCTGTATTCCTGGGTTCTGTGACAGTCCCAGCATGAAAAATTCTGTGATATTGTTGGATATTTCCATAGTCCAAGGCCACAGAGAATGCAGGTACAGTATTGCCTATAAATCAACAGAGAAACATAATCATAACATTGCTAATTCCAGAAGGAAATATTGCAAGGTTTCTTTTATCTACACCTACTTCCCTTTGCCCCTTTTAACACTTTCTGTTCCAAAATTCTTATGCCAATTTAGTGTGGTAATTACAAAATGTCAGCATATGTCTATCTGCTAACTTCAGCATCAGTGGGTACTAAATATCTAAGTTATTACATGAAAATAATAATGTAATTAGCCATATTTTAGTTTCTTTTGTTACTACTGAAATTGAACTTTTGGCAGATCCTGGTTTTCCAATTCAATGAGAGTCCATCTCTGACCATTTTCAGCAAGGCTCCGCCTAGACACAATGGCACTTGAGAAAACCATGAACATTCCAAATCTCCTGAAACTTCTGCACGAACAGTCCACATATCAAATCTTTCTTCTTGGACTGCGCAGTGAGGTTTGCTACACTTTCTGTTGCAGGTATTTCCAATAGTAACACAAAGTTAAGTAAAACCAACTAAAGCAAGGATTGGGAGAAACTGATGAGGTTGCAGCTGGAGACTTTCCCAACTTCTCCATTTCTCTCCTTGTTCCTTTACTCCCACTCCGTGCACAGACTGCAGACAAGCTCATGTCTAGGAAGCCAACTTAAATTACTCCTCCCCCTTGCTTTATATATTCTATATACTCTGCATTTTGCTTTTTTTTTTTTTTGGCTTGGTAAAATTCTTCTGGTTAAAGCTACTAGTCCTTCTGTAGTTTACAGGAAGGAGTCAAAGGTTACAAAAATAAAAAAAGTTCGGTGAGCATCAGTGAAGGGTTCTACTAAATGATTACCTGTGCATTCTCTACATAAATGAAGCTTGGGGGCAGGGAGAAGAGGTGGCCGGTCTTACTCAGCTGCAAATTACAATCCCATCCAGCAGAATATTCCTACTCACCCTTTACTCTCCTAACAATATGAAGGAAGGAAATGCGTGTGCCTGTCCTAGTTTTGAGAGACACATAATCTATCATTCTCCTAAAAGCACAGGCCTTCTGAAGGTAGCTAAATCTCTCAACTTGATGAAGATCTAATGCTCAGTTTGATGGGAATTAAAGGAAAATCATTAAGTGTCAGAGGAAGAAAGACACACCCAGATATAAGAAACACTGGAGAGAAGAGTTCTGTGTTGATCAGGAAGCTGCCTCCTTTTTCTCTCTTCAAGCTTTGTTGCCAGAAGGCAAATACAGCTTCTACAAGTGACAAGCTTGATGGGGACCTTTTCAGAGTAGAACTTTATGGCCAAGAGCACAGATAACAGTAACAAGAGCCAACGCCTGTGTAGCACTTAGTCTTTGCCAAGCATTGTCCTAACCGCCCTACATATATCAGTTCATATAATCCTCACTTCATGCCCAGGAGATAAGTCACTGTCTTTATCCTTATATTGAAGAAGAAAGTCGGGCACACATTCAGCAACTTACAGAGGCATATTCAGCTAATAAGTGACAGAGCTAGCAGGCACTCTAGCTAAGGACTCCATGGGCTTTGCTGTACTATACTGTCACTTACCAGTAAGCTCATCTGGGTTTGACTCCTTCCTCTGACACTTATTGACTGTCTGTATAAACTGGGAATACTGCTCTACCCTGAGATTGCAGAGAAAAGTAAATGAAAATAGTGCATGTTGAGTGTTTGTACCGAGCCTGGATGTGACAAACATTTTTTAAAATATATTTTATTGATTTTTTACAGAGAGGAAGGGAGAGGGATAGAGAGTTAGAAACATCGATGAGAGAGAGACATCGATC